AAAAGCGTCGACGAAGATTCCCTCATTTTGGTAATCAGCGGATCTTTTCTGACCTGCGGAGCATTTGTTTCGTTCGAAAGTAGTCCTTTCGTGGACAATCATTTCATATTTTAAATTTCACAGCTGATATCCCGCAATTCCACTTTTTCTTCAATTTTGTTGAGCAGGTTTGGCATTTTCAGGGATTAATGCAGTCTTCGTATGATGCACTAGATGCACATTTTGAACTCACATTTCATACTCTTGTCCAGCGATCTTCAACTCTCGCTGAATAATTCTCAGGTATCATTATTTATTTATTTCACTTTAGCGGTATGATCATTCCACAGATTCGTCGAGAAGTTTAGCTAATTAGGCCACTTCTCCTCGTTATTTGAGTCTTCAAATTCCTAGAACTATTAGAATATTTGGAATTTTTTAAATCGGAATTTTTGCATTTGGAGGTTTGCATTTGTGCTGTTCATGTTGTTCAAATTTTGCTTAAAGATATTTGCATGACAATGAAATTTGCATTGAACTCAGCAATATTTAAAGGAAATTTAACCTCACTCAAATCATTGTTTACGTATGGTGCCGTTCCAGCGGCCTTATTTTGTACGGGAGCATGACAACATCGAAGAAGGAGAATTCGAGCAAGAGCACAACTGCTAGTGGAGTGACCGACAGTGTTGGGTTGCCAAAGTAAGCAGGCATTTTCTTGGAAGGTTTTCGACTGTACATCTCGAGATGATTTCGTGAAATGGGGATGAGTGTTGTGCATGAATTTCAACCTTGACAAACTTGAAATTTCAATTTGAATTTAGATGTTTTGAATTCCAGTCACTGACAACTTGAAAATAAAGAGTAAAATAGTACTGGTTTCGAATTGCATACATCTAAGCGGTATGAACATTCCGCTGATTTGTTAAGAAGTTTAGTTAATTAGGCCACTTTCATACATTCACGTAAACTAGATCGATTGCAACTGGCAAACAAAGTGACCGGTGAATTAATTGCAGAAGCCTGATATCGCATCCAAGGTTAACACCATTTATTCAAACCGATTTAACGAATTCAATGTTGCAAATTGGTGACCAGCTTCGTGAACGATGGGTTATAAAGGTAATGAAGCATTGACACAAATCAGTCGTTTCTCGCCAACCATCCGTCGAGCTTTCTCCAAAATAATATTCGTGGAAAGAATGCAGCAACTGAGAACACATTGTTGAATAGATTTAGCATTTCCAGGGTTTAATTGGTCATGGTGGTTACGGAGAAATATACTATGCTATTGATACGACGAATGATGAACCTGTAGCAGCTAAAGTTGAACCTGTAAAGCGAAGAGGTAAAGTTGTCAGAAGAATGATTCTTGAGCAAAAGGTCAGTCTTCACACTCAGTTCATATGTTCTTGATAAGTGAAACAACCGTTCATGAGATATGATTCGAAAGTAGACCTAAAACAGCGTCTCATTTGAACGCGATTAAATGTTAACTGATGATTCTGTATACAAGAATCTTTGAACAATAAATTTCTTCCCTGGTGTGAGAGAGAGGAACAAAATGACGTTCCAGATGACCTAAAGAGTTCATAATCAAGTTTCTATACTTCAGGTATTACTTCGAATGCAAGGCAAACCACACGTGCCAATGATGTGGGGATCAGGAGTGGAGCGAACGATTAATTATATCGTAATGCAAGTGCTTTCAACAAACCTCAATGAACTACGCAAACAGTGTCCAGTGAAACGCCTGTCTCGAGGAACGGCTGGTCGTATCATGCAACAGGTGANATATTGAATGAGATAAATCTAAGTAATCAAGTAAGCGTGATCCCTGAATTGATATCCGAAAAATATTCCGAATCTGGTCAGTGCATCATTGAAGACTAGGCAGCGACTTCCTAACAAATAGAAGAGGAATGTGCGGCCTAGCAGTTCTGTAAAACTCAGCAAGAACAAGGCGACTTGATATTTGACATGCCCATATTTTGAAACACTGACCATGTGAGCATTGTCTTGTGATCTGTGGACAATGTGTCCAGCGATTTTGCAATGAATTTGCTTTAAGGCGATTGCTGGTCTGAGGGATATGCACAGTTTTGGTTATCTTCACCGTGATATCAAACCTGCGAATATGTGCTTCGGATTAACCGAAAAAGTGAGTAAATTATAACGGTTGCATAGAAATCCAAGAACATGCTACAATTACAAACCTCCACATAATTTTATCGCGTTTTTCTGATGATGTCCTGAAGAGCTGAATGTTGCGGCTCTTAACCGTTAGTATCCAGAACTGACATTCTTTATGAACGAGCTAAGCTTTTGTGGTTCTATGATTCAAAGTCATATTACTGCTGTAACACAACGAGGAATACTTTATGTGAGGACTAGGACCTCGGAAAATTCGGATTTATTACATTTTAGAATGAAGCCATCGAAAATTACAGAGCATGCGACGGCTATTTATCGTGGATTACGGCCTAGTGAGACGATTTCGGAGGGATGATGGGCAACGAATTCCACAACGATCTCGAGTGGGATTTCGCGGTACAATGCGATATGTATCGATGCGAGTGCACGATCGTAAAGAACAAGGTCCTTCCGATGATATGATTGCCCTTTTCTTTTGTCTGCTCGAGGTGCTCAATGGAGAGCTACCCTGGAAATACATCAATAGTGACAGCAAGATGAAATCAATGAAAATGGAATTGGTCTGTTCATCTTCTTCATTTCTCATATTTTGATTGGCGATTTTTCTCAGGAAAAATTTTGTGACGATTAGTTCTTGTGGTTGGATTTTAATGTGACAGCGTGAGACATAACAGCAGCAGGACGAATTATATCTCACTCCGTCGTCAAAATATCGCCTGCATCTTGATAGAATGTAATTTGCATGGTTTGACACTCAACTCATTCGACATTCATACCAACCGCCCTTAGCTCGTTCAACGCTCTGTTTAATTCACACATCAATAATACCGTTCGTTCATGTGAAATTCGAGAACGCTTCAGGTTGGCGACGATTTCGCGAAACTTACACAATGTTTCGGTAAGGAAATGGGGGAATTTGGCAGAACAGTCATGAATATGTCCGCGGATGATGAACCGAACTATAATGACCTTCAATTAATGATGAAGGTGAGCTAACGTCGCATCCTATTCATCGGACAATGTCAAGCTCTCACTCAATTAATCCCTTCTTTAATATTATCCTGATTTTACTTTTAACAAGAGGATGTTCGAATCTATAAAATCTTAACTCTATCTCCAAATGAAACTTATCATATTTCATTCCAGCGAATGTGCGGTGGACGACATTTGAACGAACCGTATGACTGGGAAACTGAATACGTCGAAGTATTCACAGATATTCTTAGCAATATGGAATCATGAAATTCTGATGTTTCCATCACCCATACCACTACTCAAAGCATACATCCTACACAATTGCAGTACACGAGTTCATTGAAACTATTCGTGTAATTTAGTTCCCGATTCAATCAATTCACATGTGTGTGTTTTCGTGAGAAAATGTGAGATGTTAATAGCGATAAGATGTGTCAAAATTTGAGCTAAGAAGCGGTACATTCTTGATATAAATGACGATGTATTTGTAATATTTCTATTACTTGTATTAGCGAATACAAATTGTTTTCATTGCCTTCAATGATTCTCCAAGGAAACGAACAAAAGTGAATGGTCACAATAGTTCATGTAATAGCAAGGCATTGTAAAGCATACAATGGGTAATCCTGAGGTAATGTTCGAAGTATTTGTTGCAACAAGGTGTGCAGCTCTGATCATGTCAGCGTTGATGTGCATTATTTGATAGAGCCACGAGAAATATGCAGACTCACATCTGCTTCTTTCATCGAAACTTGCTTGTCGGAGTGGAATCGGGTCATAAAGATTGTGCTAGTGTAAAGGCACGAGTCCAAGCAAGCCAGAGAGATCACTACACAATGTTTCAGCGGAGTGGATCACCAAAATAGTTCACCTAGGGCACCATGCGCCAGAATCTGGCAATCGAAACGTTTTTCTTTGAATGATGCACTCTCCGATTTAGGTTTGAACTGAATAACCACTCAAAACAATGGTTACCACTTATCTGTTGTGTACATCAATCACTTCCGTTAATAACATATTTGCATCGCAAAAACTTTTCAATAACACAAAATCATTTATTGAAGAAATGAATGGTCACAATAGGTCACGTAATGGCAAGGCATTGTAAAGCATACCGTTACCCACCAAATGCAAAATTTTCTTAGGGAGTACACAAACGAATATACTGATTAGATTAGCAATATCACATTAGCGATTCAATGGTCAAATGGAGTCAATTGATCAGTTTTGAACTTTTACATTAAAGCGAAAACAAATTAAATTAATGCGTCCATATATGAGTGCTAACACTACCGGCACAAGAAGGACTGCATTCAGCAAGAGCACTGCCTTGAAAATATCACTGCTGTTAACCAACACATAGGAGAACTGGCGTTTCAACTACATCGTTTGTTGAACAACAGGCGCTTAGAAAATTCAACCTCAATCTAACANTGGACACCCAGGAAGATCAATTTTGTCAATGTTTCCTGTTTTCAAATTGTCCAAAGTGGAGGTTCAGATTGATCAAGAGTTGTATCAAACAAGATGCCTTGATGAATGCAGTGCATGCCGTAGCAGACGAAAAAAGACGATTACAACTTTACGATAAGATAAACTATAATAACCATCGAGAAAATGAGCGTTTGGTGGCATCGTATTAAAAGCCATGTATTTAAAACATCAGAAGTTAAAAGCAGTAAGTAAAGTTATACTCAATAGATGTTACCATCTTATCAAAGCGAATGTCATCGAGGTTCTTTAGAAAAAGTTGCGTACTAATTTTTGTACGTCTTTCACAATTCTCTGATACCATAGAATTATAGCAAAATTATGCGCAGCTCAGTAACAATTTGAAACCTCTTGGTAACATCGCGATAATCAGTCGTAAAAATAAAACAAATGTGGCGAGAAATGCTTGGCTGAATATCACACTAGAAACATCACTTTAAGGCACGAACAAATAAGATAAAGTAAGATGTTAAATAATGATATTTTGGCATAAGTAAATAGTGTTATTGTTCTTAAAAAAAGCAAGGCATTCACAGAATGTTTCAAGAAACACAATGAGACAGTATATTGAGAAATTCGAACTGAAAAATACTTGCAATAGAACCATGAATTAAAACATTCAATGCTTGATGATCTAAGGCCCCAACATTCAAACACTTATCAATGAAAATTGAGAAAACGATTGCAAAAAAGTTCCAATTCATCCGTTCCCGAAATTGATTAACTGGACAACTGAAGGGAAAGTGATACACGTTTGGGAATGGAAAGTGTTTTAGCGCACATCATAGCAAAAATTTTCAGTTTAATTAGTGTTGATTCGCTGAACCGCTGCAATCGAAAAGACAAGCACTGAGTGAATACATGAGGATGCGAGAAAGCAACAAAATAAGGCAACTCCCAGAAATGATGAGTTTTCGATTCGAAACATTTTAGTTTGCTCGGGAGTTCGCTGATACATAGTCGATTGTAATTGTATTATTGAGTTTAGATCGCAACAATCAGTCGCTAATCAGTTCCAGGAAGGTGTGGTGAAATTATCGGGTAGCCACTTGATCGGATGCATTTCCCAACTCTGGAAGTTGATTGACCTGGTACTTTTATAGGCCTTTTTTTACGATGAAAACATTTCAGAGTTGGACGGATTTCTTTAGTATGGAGAAATATGATTAGCTGCATACCTGCACGAATGCACCACGAGAACACTTCGACAGTGTTGGGATTCGTACCGACGTGGAGAATCGTTCATTCACAGACTCTTTCGGGTTATCCAGACAAAGTCCACTTTTGCGATTATAAAATGATCTACGCTGAAAACAGCTCCTTCGTATATTTCTCAATTCAAAGCGCATTGAACTAGCACTTGCTGCGCTTTCCTTAATTCATCATTGCTCCAGATAATTTGAAACCTTCTATTCCTGAGAAATGAATATTAAGAGTACTCTCACGATAAAGACGGACAATAATCGAAAAAACGAATACGGGTTCATATGCCAATGTGAACGTGCCGTGCCACCTTCTACCAAATTTTCTGTGTGAAGGTTTAGAATGAAATTAAGACCGCGAATTTATCTGGACATGAATTCGCAGCAAAAAAAAGGAGTTAGCTTTCTTACGCTAGTGTTGTAATCCCAATATTCATTGTCGTGTTGACCACATTCCTTCAGCTGCACAGCCCATTGGCCGTGGCTGTGAACCGGTTGATGCGAACTCAGACACAGATGCTCATCGCTTTTAATTTGTCCGTCATTGGTGTACAGCCACAACTACAAAACACTATCCAGATGAACCCTACGGGCAGTGAGCTGTGATATGAACATACATTCAATTCATTTTAAAGACGCATAATTCGAATTGACTGAAGTTGTTTATTCACTCCACTTTTACTTATTATAAGTTCATTTTTTATTGTTATTATTATGTATTCTTTTGGAATTTCTTTTACATCATTTTATTACATAATTATTTTGTTTATTATTTTTTACTTCCATTTTAAAAATCTAAATTATAAATTATTTAATTTTCGTAAGTGATTAGTTTATTAATTAGTTATATGATTTAATATTATCATCTTTTAAATTACATGCACGATTCTAGTCCATCACAAAAGTCATCGTTATGCAAATGTCGAGTACCTGCACAGGACAAGTATCTTAGGCAAATAACTCCACCTGTTCTACCGTTTATCAGTAAAGAAACTTCTACCTGCCACAGATCAAACCCAAGTGAGCATTCACCAACAGTGAGTCTCTGTTGCTTGGAGCCGGGTTCGCCGGGCCGTGAAACAAGGCAATAGTTCGTTTTGAGATGGGCAATCTGAAACCAATCAAAAACATTCACTGACCTCAGTACGGTCGAATTTTGCTGTTGTTGTGCAATTGTGCATTGAGGCCACTCTAACTGTACCACCACGTGGAATGGTCCAATATAAACACCAAGGGTTCCCCGCAGATTTCGAGAATGGATGAACTATCTAAACTGTTTGTCACCGTTTCAAATGATGCGCTGTTTTAAATGGCGAGACGCCATTCCGTATGAATCGGTGCCGACAGCAAAAAGCTTGAGTACAAAATCAGTCAGTTTTCAGAATTTAGCAGAGATGATCATTGCAAACGTGATCAAATTGACTGTTTGTCAGACTTCAGTGGTTTTGTGACAGCACAATGCAAAACCGGTTTAATGTTAAGAATGAATTTGATTGATTACCCTTCCGAAAGTGTGTTCGGGTCGAGGCATGAAATTATCGGCCCACACATTTTGAAGATACCAGTTGAAGTCTTTGCATCTTAAACGCTTCCTAAGTTCGATTCTTTGACTGACGTCTACAGTCGACCTCATATGCATAGCTTCTGAAAGCATCAAAATTATCGCTGTTATACAAACGGTCCATCCAGCAATCATTCATACGAATGATCATTTCTCCTTTGAATTCTCAACTAATGCCCAAACATATTGCGTCATTACTTTCAATTAGGTCACTTCGCGAAGAATGATGCTCGTATTGTTTTAAGACGAAATCGCATATCTCACTGATGAAAAACAAACAACTAAGGTCCAAGCCATACGTGGTGCAGTTTTGTAGAAAAGATACTTCCATTCGTCCATCCAAACTTCTGCCACCCGAAGGAGATTGGTATTGAGGATTTTGCCAGAGTTTTTTCCAGGAAAATCATGTGGGGATGCCCTTCGAAAGATGTGGCCAACGTGTGAGCAGGGCAGAATCTCAATGCGCCCACCACATTGCCAGATCTGGAAATCGGAAAGCTATGAAAGAATATATGTTGCAAATTCAATAGTAACACTCTATGACATCGAAACGACCATAATAAAACAAATCTACAGAGTAAATCAAGATGCAAAACGTGCATCAACCATGCTATATATGATGACACTGCAATTAAGCAATCATGTTACCTTCAATAAATCGGTGTTGTTGTCGAAAAAAANAAAAAAATGAAATAATTGCAGCTGAATGGTCGACAAAACTCACCGCAAATACATCATTTTTCAAAATAGGACTGGTTTTACTGTTAAACTGCAATGCACCAACGAACGCATGACAGTTTTCAAACAAAATAGACATCAGTACGAATCATGTTACACAGCGCAATGCGATGCCATTCAAAATTGCATGAGAGGTGTGCAAAAATGCGCTTGGAACATAAACAAACACACTGAATGCACCAACTCGAAATGATATTTCGATATTTTCTCCACCCCAAATGTCCATTCCCGGATCGTATGTGCCAAGCTCCTCAAAGTAACGTCTTTCGATGCTGAACAATCCACCGGCCATTGTTGGTGATCTTAAACATTTTCTCACCGTACGTTAAGAAGGAGGCTTCGATATTAGACTGTGAAGAGCAGATGATTATATAATGTCTTGACAGAATGACAAAGTCTATTCTCGTCTCTAAAATCATAGCACATGGCACTGTAAATGCTGTTGGGATGGTTTGTCATTCAAGAAGAGGGGGTTTACAACGATTTCACGCCGCAGTATCCGCACCATTCCCAACTCCAGTCAGTGGAACTTCAGCGTGAAACAGTGAAAGTTTTGAGACAGCCTATGTATTGAGTGATTTATTTGACGAATTTGCCTCTTAATCGCAACTTTTCTAGCAAAAAAAAATTTTCACCCATTTTTGTGGGTTTTTGTTGCGCATTCTGTTCAAGTTGCACTTTAGAGCGATGGTTCAGGGGAAATGAAGGTG